TGCGTCTTAACCTGCAGCAAGTAGCGACTTGCAATTTTGTGGTTATTTTGTCTCAATTGTCGTCCAGGCTGTAGACTTAGCTTCCTTATGGGCCGAAGCAGCAAGGGGTCCATGTGTGTGTTTTATTGACTTAAAAGGGAATAAAACGTTAAAAATGCCTTCATAAAACAACGATCTTTTTAAAAAATCGCATCTTCTGCTTTAAAGCGAGTGAAAATTCGAAACAAACAAAACAGTGACACTGTGAACTGCTAAAATCTCTTAAAGCGACAAAAATCAGCTTGCTGCTGCTTGACTAAAATTCACAATACTGTTGAACCAAAGTGTCTGCAGCAGATTGAGGACATTTCCGACTTCTGCTTGCTCTAGATTATACGTTGGGGCGATTCATCACGAATTATGCAAATTAATTAACACTTAAAATGCATTAAATTCCTTCTTTTACAGTTGATCTGCAAACGCGAGAAAGTTGAAGTGAAAGAGCCTCTAAAAACGTGGCCAATCAATGCGTACGAACGGCCGGAATACAACCCCAGGACTAACGAAGTGGAACCATTGGATTGCCTAATGAAAAATAGTGAAACAAATCTGGTAAGTTTAACTCTTCAAAACACCGGTTTCAAGCTAATCTAATGGTTTTCCATGTGAAGAAAAAGCCCAAGTTGACGGTTCCCCGAAAAACCAAGGCAAAGCCAAAGAAAAAGTATCAGACGAAAAAACGGATACCAACCACAAAAAAACCCATTGAAATGGTTCCAGCCAAAGAACTGACGCCAGTGGTAGAGGAAACCTTGGAGATGGTTCGGGAGTTAAGTGCTGGATCATTCGGCAAGAAATTTGGGTTGGACCTGCTCAACAACCAAACCATGTTATTGGCCATAATTAAAGGAATGGAGAATGAAGAGAACCAAAGGAGTGATTCCTCAGGACCCAGCGATTCTTCTAGTAATAAGAGAAAATAAAACGCATTTATTTAAACAAGTTTTTTTTTAATTTTGTGCGATTTTTGTGTTTGCGTTGTGATGTCGAGCATCGAAAATTTTCCAAAAAATACAGAACTGAGAAGCGGACGAATAAAAAAGTGAGAGGAGTGCGGGAGATAAGAAGCAAATCACGGTGAACAAGAGAGAAGGAAAACAATTTTAAAAAAGAACGTGTGAGTGGTAGAATCTTGCGCGTTGCGGCATTCGAAAAAGCAGAGCTTTATTTTCGGGTGCAAAAAGTTTCGATTTGTTGGCAACATCAGGCATTAAGTATCAATTTTTTTGCCAGCAATGCCGGCCTGTGAATGGAGGTTGACTTTAAAAATGAATTTCCCCCAAACCAAGAGAGACACAAACATGGGAATTTTTCCCTCACAAAGAGCTCTTTTGCCTTTCTGGCTCGAAAATCTTGTACTTCCGTCATCATCAGGCGTTTAATGACGATTTCCAAAACGTGTCCCAGACGGTCGCTATTGAATTGGTTTGCAGTGCGTCTGACATGCCTCGCAAGCAGAAGTTGCGTTTAAAAATCGAGTGGGACTAAACGAATCGAAATACAAAAACGTTGATTACAAGGTTGAAAAAAGCAAAGTTTTCTCTTTGTGTGCCAGAAATTTTGCATTCGAGTATGCATCAGCTATGTAGTGGTAAATTTTTAAACTTGTTCATCATGAGTGCGTCAGACGTGCCTCGCAAGCAGAAGTTGCGCTTAAAAGTCGAGTGGGACTAAACGAATCGAAATACAAAAACGTTGATTATCAGGTTGAAAAAAGCAAAGTTTTCTCTTTATGTGCCAGAAATTTTGCATTCGAGTATTCATCAGCTATTTAGTGGTAAATTTTTAAACTTGTTCATCATGAGTGCGTCAGACGTGCCTCGCAAGCAGAAGTTGCGCTTAAAAGTCGAGTGGGACTAAACGAATCGAAATACAAAAACGTTGATGATCAGGTTGAAAAAAGCAAAGTTTTCTCTTTATGCGCCCGAAATTTTGCATTCGCGTAGGCATCAGCCATTTAGTGGTAAATTTTTAAACTTGTTCATCATGAGTGCGTCTGAAGTGCCTCGCAAGCAGAAGTTGCGTTTAAAAATCGAGTGGGACTAAACGAATCGAAATA